ACCGAGACTGTTTGGGAGCCTCCAACCTTCCCCCTCCCCCACCCCCCCCCGAAGAGAATACATGAAAAAACCCAGTGCGCAACCATCACCATCCATCGCCATCGATATCTGCAACAGCATCATGAACACCAGATTCAAGGAGCATGGCACCATCACCACCACCGGCATGAAGACCACATGACCATGGCGAGACAAGCGCATGCAAGGATCTGCGCAAACCGGAGCCCCCTCCTCCCGACCCCGAAACCAAAAGAACGAGCCTGAGACCAGAACAACCCATGGGTCGGGATATGTGACGTAAGCTTCAACAAGCCGCAAACTGCTGTATGGCACAAAGTTGAAGCGAGTTTTTGCTCGGACCGAACACTCCACAGATGCAATCCGTTCTTCCACAGCAGGACAGGTGCATGTCATTGGAGAAGTGAGGTGAAGCAGGGGAGTGCCGTGCAGCACAAATCAGTGAAGGGAAGAGAACCGAGCAAGGGAGCGAGTGATTGAGTGAACGTGCGAGTCTGATGAGTCTGTGAATGCGTGTGAACATGTGCATGGCTGTGCACTTTCAGAATCTTGAAGCGGCTTGGCATACAATTAATCGTGAAGCTGCACCCTCTAAAGTCGTTTACATGCCGGATCGCACTGGCGAGCTCCTAGCTCACCTTCCAAGCGAGCGAATGTGAATGCAACTTCATAAATACGTCTTTCGGCCCCCTCTCAGAAGCGCGGCTGGCCCTGATGCCCATGGAGTCCTGCCGGGGGACGACGCGTTGCTCTCGCCGGCATAAGGCTGTGGCCAGAGGGTGTGAACGATCCTAGAAGACTGAGAGTTCTTGCATAGGCAATTGCAAGGGGTGGGATTAGTTCACGTCGCTGTCATCATGAGTCAATGAGTTCAGACTGGCAGCTTCAGTTTCAACCGCTGCAATGGCTGTTGCCAGGCACTCCGTCATTTTCTGTGACTACGGCGTGGAGGAAAAAAGCTCGAGTAGACTAAGTGAGATCGGCATTTGCGATAAATTGTGGTGAACTCTTGATGATGAATACAGCGCTTTGTTCGGCCAGGCCGTGCCCTGTAGAGCCTGTCAAGCTGACCGGTGCATAGTCCTGTCCATGCATTTCCACCGTTGACATAGCTAAGAGCCATCAAGTCGATGAAGCTTTCAGCTTCATGTTCTAGAAGTCTTTGAGCAGCCTGCCACAGAGTCTCCTTTCGCGTATGGCACTTCGCCTAGTGGCCCAAGACCACGGCATGCTACGTGCGGCAGTGTGCCTTGGTGTGTATGTAAGGGCAAGGGACAGCGGTGCCAGCCTCAAAAGAGGGATGCGGATTTCTTCGCACTGGACCGGAGTGCATAGGCTCATCACTGCAGCTGGCAAGTGGGTGGAAGGAGCTACAGGCCGGCGGCTCCAACAAGCGCATGTCAGGAAAAATTGCAACAACTGGAGCGGTTTTGTATCGAAGTCCTAGCTGTCTTGTCAGGAATGGTCGCAAGTTCGGCAGGGCTAGTACATAAGAATCCGTTCGACTGGAGATTAGGTAGCATCGAGAAACTCCGGCGCTGGCATCGCTGTGACCGGTTGGGTTCGGCATGAAGAGTCTACGCGGCCTCCCTTGAAGGCCCAGAAGTGAAAGAAAGGAAGGAGCAAGTTCGGGGAGTGGATTCCCAAATCCCGAGAGAGGCGCGTCATAAGCTTGCAGATCTTCCGAACACGGCGAGTGCAAGTGCTTGCAATGCTTGACTCGCAGGGATCCGGTCGACGCGTGCTGTGCGGAATTAGCGCCGCAGCAGCTGCACTGTTTACAGCTGCTCGCAGAGTTAGGACTTTGAGCCGCAATTGTTCTGGGGGGCAAAGCTTACGAAAGACGCCACGAGCATCAGCCGAATTTTCAAGAGCGTTTGATTGATCAATGCGGTTGGCACGAAGAGATGAGAGAGTCCCAGTGCAGGACTGCGCCACGGGCCTCCTCAAACCCAATGCCTGCCACGATGCTTGGTTTCAGTGTCATTTGGATCACAGCCTTTCTTTCCAGATCTTTCGAGAGTTTTAAGTTATTGAATATATAGGAAGATCAGCGTACACAACCCACAGGAGCATCGGTCCTGTTCGCATTGCCGACATACCTGAGGAGTAACCGCAGCTTGCTCAAGTCGCGTGTGCAGATCATAGGCCTCATGCGACACTATCTTAGTGTCTCTTGTGTTGCTGATCTTGCTCTGCTCACGGATCACTGGCAACAACACTCGGAAGCATAAGTGCAGGCTCTTGCTGCGTGATTATTATGCAGTACGCGCTCCTCCAGATCTTCAGCATCTACAGCTCTGAACTGCTGGAACCAGGTGAGCAGCTGGAAGCTTGCTCAGACTCTGCCTCAGCACCCCGAGCCACCCAGGGGATGCGAACCAGCTTTATGCGGCGGCCAACTGGGGCGCCTGCTTCCTAGCAGCTCCAGCAGGAGAATGGGCTGTGGTTGAAATGCTTCATGCTTCATATTGTCTCCACCCTCGTTTGGCTCCCGTTCTGGGGACTTCACATCCCCGATGCTTTGATAGTTTGCCATGCCAGTCGGGACGGGATCCTCGTGAGAGTCGGTGCCGTGGTTGGGAAGTGTCCGCAAGGATTCGGCGAGTTTGGGGGGGACCAGGAGTAGGACCCCCTGACCCGGAAGCCATGCATGGGTATGGTTGTCGCGAGGAAAGGAAGAAAAGACATGTGGACCGATGTAGGATCAACACCGTGGTTGGTTGGCGCAGCAAGAGAAAGATTTCTGCGATCGGCACCGCATGGCAGAATGAGCGAAGGAACCGGGGTCATTCTGCGGAGCAGAGGTCTGATACACGGCTCGCATGGATGAAACACCTGTTGAGAAGCGGATCCCTGGTACTCATCACACCGTAAGATCTGCGCTGCTTAAGCAACTGCAAGCCGTACCTGCCACTTCCATCACGGACCGGAAGGCGATATTGCGGGAATGGGGAAGTTGTCCGGTCATTGTCATGAGGAGCAAAATTACAAAGACGCTGCAGCATGTGTTCCAGGAATCGTCTTCGATGCCCTCGGCCCCGCCTGGCCAGCGCGGGAAGGGACGGAATTCCAGCGAAGTCCTGATTTTTAGAATTAGATGAAGGGGTGTGGACACCATCTAGCTCCTAGAAGCAATGCGGTTTCTCGCAGGTGTTTGCACGCTGTGCCCCCATGCATATGACAAAGTCACAATGCTACAGGGCCTGCCTTCTGGGCGGGATCTGCAGCAGCTCCGGCCCCTCGGCCGAAGAGCGCATTTATGCGGCTTTCAGGGTTTGCGGCATCCATCAGCATCCCGAATTCGGGTTTGTGGATATTTCGGACAACGAGGCCGACGGTGGCTGCTGCTTTTGAATCGCGAGGGTTCTCTGGCACCAAGTGGTTGCAAGATACGGCATGCGGCAAGAATATGTGACCAATGCTGACTTCTTTATCACAGATCATAGTTAGTGAGTCCACATGTAAAGTAGTATCTGTTCATGGCGAATGAAGCTAACTGGCCCATGAATTTGACCTCCAGATGAAAAGAAGCGCTGTGCAGTACAACCATCTGTGGAAAAAAGCATCCTTGTGTCTCCCAAGATTCGTTTTTACCTTTGGAATGCCTGCTTGCACCGTGCGGGCACCAAACTCTTCACAAACAGTATGCGACTCAATGCCTTGCAGTTTGTGTCAGCTTCATCTTGTGTTGCCACTGCGGGGCTGCAGTGTTGCCGCAGACGTGGGCTGTCCACTATTGAAAGGACGCCCTTGTGTGTGTGTGTGTGTTGTCTTGCTTGTGTTTTCTTCCTTGCTTGGCATGCCTCAACGCACATTCAAACAGAAAGGTACGTTTGCATCCTGTTTCGTGTTCTGCCAAAGGCGTGCTACCCCGGACCCCGAAAAATGGTCGAAACTCCACCTTGCTGGGCGGCCGTGCCTGCCTGTTGCCAGCACGGTCGTTGCCGTTGCCGGCGCCCTCCATTTGTGAGGAAATGTCGTGCTTCTGTCCGCAGTTTGACCGCCGGCCTGGAGTCGGTTTTGGCAGGCACAGAGTCACACAGCGGCGTCGCCTTACAGAGGGTGTGGCTGGGCTTCGCCAAACCCGTCGCATGCGACAGCAACCTCAGGAAGTCACTCGAAACCGCACGTGATGCTGCCCTGCTCCCCTTGTTCTTAGACAACGCACCCACTACATGCTTAAGCGTCATTTAGGTCGCGGGCGCGCGGTCACTGCCTCCCGCTGTGATGGGTGTTCCCCCAGATTGCAAGGCCTCAATGGTTCCTGGTCCTGCAAGGTAGCCAACTGATCGTCCTTTCCCTCGCCACAGCACTTCTGCCCTACCGTCCCACCTAAGCAGCCTCAGCCTCTGCCCTTGTTGCCGCTTACCCCAGCATGTAGTCCCAGCGTGCCTTTCGCAGAAGCTTATACCATGTGCCAATTCCAGACGGCGGAGGCTTACGCTCCATTGCTGATCGGTCCATGCCCCGCAAGGACTCGGACTGGCTGGGTGACCGGATGTTGCGTGAGGAGTTCAAGACCTTATATCTCGGATGGAATGTACTGCAGTGCCTGATAAAGCACTGCAGGGACCTGCAAGGACGCATCCCGCGATCCGCCTCCGAGCCATGTCAGCCATGGGAGGGTCTGTGTCGTTTTATTGGTGACCCGGATTGTTGCTTGCCGGGGCTGCTCCACAGTGGTGTTCCGACAGGCGTGCTCGAGTCGACTGAAGCTTCAAACGTGTGGCAAGTTATGTTTGCCCCTGTTCCGCCTGATGAAGATCTTTCGGGTCACTTTTCGGATCTGTCTGTTAACACGTCGACGTGGCAGAGCAGTCTAGATGATGAAAAATGAATGAAGTCCTTGATGCTTAGGACGTGGATGCAGAATGGAGAAACGGCCGAAAGGCAGCGTTGGGGCACACGTGTTGCGGCTGGGAAACCTGGCATCGCGCACCCCTGGCAAGAAGCCTCGCGTTGTCGGGGACGGTATTGTTTCCGGTGCCAACCCAGCATGTGGGATCCGTGAAAAGGTTAGGCTCCCCACCCTGGAGTGTTCCAAGATGTCTCAGCTCCTCCATGGCGTTGAGCTGCATTGCTTGCCTAACGTAGTGCGAAACGTTAGACATTAGGTGGTGCCCTCACCTGGCAAGATAGCGAACGGCGGGCAGGCGGTCTTTCAATTCGGACAGCCCGCTTCTGCAATGCAACAGCACAAGCTGAAGCTGACAGCAGCTACATGGCATTGAGCATGCGCACAGGCATTTCAACACTTACACCACAGCATGCAGATACACAGTTTTCATTGGACCGCACACATGAGCCACCAATCCGATCCGCTGCAGCTGCGCGCGTTTTTGTTTCGGATGCTTCTTGATGTTGAACTTGCAACTAAGGCATGGCATGGGCCACGGCATCATTGCTCGGAACCCCGAGGCACTGTCAACACTGTTGCTGCAGGAAGTACACAGGGAACTCAGTTTCTTCCAGTCCAGGATCTATTCAGCAATGGCCGGATACTTCCTCTTCGGCTTCGGAGCAACGCTTTTGAACACGGATCCTTGCCGGCAGTTGCGGCGGTTGGGACGACTGTAGAGTCGAATCATGTCGAATCACGATGCGGCAGCTGCATGCTGCCACAGTTGTGAAGTGGACGCAGATCGGGATGCAGACAAACGACAAACCGTAGCGGCAGCGGAAGGGCAACCATTGCGAAGTGATGCAATTTGACTCGTCGGGGCTGCCCCGGTCGACTCAAGTCGCGTGTGGAAGGCCTGAAGCCTTGTGACAGCCGCCGCTGCCAACGCACGCTGGGCAGGGAGATAAATTTAAAAGAGCCACATATGCCATCAGTGAGATCGAGCAGACAAGCGCAAAACGGCGCCACGTGGGGGAACTCCGTTTCTAGATCCGGCCCGCTGCTGTGAAAGGCAAGTCGGGCAGGTGCAAACTGCTACTGTGAGGCGAAAACTATCAGCTGCTTTCGCCCTCCGACAGAAAGAATGATAGCAAGATGCTCAACCGTTCACGCAGATTGACGGCCGAAGGACAGATAGATAGACCTGCCCAAACAACAAACCGATAATGCAGCCTTGTCTCCCCAATCCGCTCAAAGTCCCATTGCTTTGATCGCAGCCCAGGTTGCTGTTCTAGCGGCAGTGCGCGCTGCACCGCCGAAACAGTCTGCAAAGGTCTCTGCAGGTGTGCTCTGCTCGACGCTCGGAAGCAGGGAGACCACGTAGCCGCCAAGTTCGGCTTGCACTTGCTGTAAATGTACAGTGTTGCAAGCGCACGCAAACTGTGGCAGCTGTCATAATCATAGTTAAGAGCTTGAGTTGCAAGGCTCGCCATTGGAATGAGCATCCACACCGCGGTGCATGCACAGTGGTTCCGTGCTTTGTCAGCGCTTGGGATTGCCAGAGTGGAGGTATCAAGACTGAGGCCGTTCAAACAGGAAGCTTCGTCGCTGCGGCAAAAACTAAGAAGCTCCTTATTGCAATTAATGATTGAACCACCCGTCGATGTGATAAATCGGCACAGTACTGTAGGGGCTATTTGGCTATCTGTTGTCCGAAGTTCGTGTTTACTTGGGACCGAATTCACTTTTAGGTGGAGCGCCGTTCGACTTTCTGGCTTACCAGATTGCCTACAGCCTGGTGAGCGGCATGCTAGGCCGCTGCATAAGCTTGAAGTTGATGCTCGCAGGTTGTCCCAGCATGAACATCTCGCAGGCTTCTTGGTCTTTCGCTCTTCGGCCTGGAAGTCCGTGGTTGATTCTGCGGAAGAGGAAAGTGGCCACTTGACTGCGAGGGCAAGCCATGTTCCTCTGCTTGTCACTCCTGACTTGCGCAGACCCAAAAGGCTGCTGTTTGTTTGTGGGGCTGCAACCCTATGGGGCCTACCCGGAACCCCTGCTTCACCCGAATTTGTGTCCTCAGGTGCGGCCTCCTCACAGCCCAAGTCGCCCAAATCTGCGGCAGTCAGGAATCACCCACAGCAGAAGCAATTTCCTGCCTGAGCACAGGTTAAGACTGCATGCAGCTGCAACTTGAGCTGTGTCAGTGCTTAATGCCAACTGATGGAGGTCTCATACAGGCCAGCAAAGCCTGAGCAAAGCGAGGGCTGAAGTGTGCCTTGCACCGCACCCTGCAGGATTTGGAACATAATGTCAGCGAAGGAGAGGGGCATGCCAATGAGAAGCAGCGTTGGCATGTCTGGTATGCATCGAGTTGTCTCGTTTCGAGTGGAACGTAGTGGAACGTACACTGCAGACGCTTAAATTGCCATTTTGCTCCCCGAGGAGTTTCCCTGGCTCGCAGCACTACACCTGATACCAATCGCCTATTCCTTCGCTTGGCTTGGAAATTGGTCGGCTACGTGGTGCAAGTTGGAAGCGTCTGCAGTAGTAGAACGCATTGACAAAAATGGGCTCTGCCTCGCGCAGGTTTGTGCCGAGCGGCTCCTGATCCCCGAGGAGGACATGGAAGCATTTTTATTGTAGCACAACATATCAAGAAGCATGTTTTTTGTGCTTGCTTCTCGATAGCACCAGTAGGAATCGCACAGCCTCCTGCCTTGTCATGCAACTGCCTGTTTCTGCATATGCTAATCTTTACCATATGGACTACGTCGCTGTCTTATGCTGGTTTATTTCATTTAGTTGTCTTTATGCTGGCACGCCGAGGGCTTCTGTGTGTTCTGCGAACCTGACCTCTTTTAATGCCTCTCTCCGCTTAAGGCTGGAGGGGGACAACTGATTTGGATCCGGCTTTTGATCGTGCAGCCCATTTTCTCAGTTTCTTGCTACTCGGCACTCGCTCGGCTGTCAGGTTCTAGCCGGCCTCAGCGGGCAGTGGTGATGCGTGTAAAGCGGCAAAGGGAGACTGCAAGAGGGAACAACAGCAGGGTCGCTGTCGTCCGCGATCCCTGCACCGAAGCAGTGTGGATCATGAGGAGGAGGACGATGCCTCCTTTCCGCCTCAGTCCCGTCCCGTCCTTTCGGCGAGCATCGCGCTCAAGCCGGGGTGGCATCTGCGAGTGATGCCTTCTCGATGTCACGACGACGACGACAACTAAGAAGACTACTCCTGCTACTCGTATTCCCACGACGACGACTACTACTATGACTACCGTTGCTACCAGCCTTGCTACCACTACACCTACCTCTACCTTGGTCACGACGACGACGACGACGACGACTATTATTACTACCACCACTCCTCCACCACCACGACGACTACTACAACCACTGCCACCACCACTGCCACGGCTACCACCCGGCGTACCTGGTAGCTACATATTGCCTACAAATTACGAACTGCGGCTCACTATCTGCGTACACCACCTACCCGTTGCTACCTGCCTGCTTGCTGCAGCCAAACCCTGGATACCCCTCACCCCACCTACCCCACCCACGATTCAGACGAGGATTACACTGCCACCAGGACGACAACGAGGAGTATAACTACCACGACGACGACGACGACGATTGCTACTACCACAACCCCGACCCCCCCACACCTGTTCAACCGTCCAACAGCACAAAAAAGTATTGTAGCGCCACAAACCGCCAAGCCTTAAATTTACAGTCACTCCTTTATCAATCGACTTGAAGGGGGCAGACACACTTTATCTTGTTCTACGATAAAGACGGAAAACTTTGCGGACATAAACAAAATACCCAGTGGCTTTCGGTGCAATGCGTTACGTACCATCGTGGTATTGTATCCGTGGTGAGCATGCTATGCACAGCGCAAAAACCTGTCCACGAACAGCGAATCCCCATTACACTCGAGCAACATGGACCGGGGCTATTCAAAGCAACGATCAATACTGCAGCTGATCAAGAGGTTGTGTAAGGCTGGCGGCAGTTCATCCATTGAGTACTCGGCGCAAGGCAGCACGAACTGGTTAAACTCATGCATGGGTGACCACATGTCTCTGACATGACGAGCCGCGTTCATGTGTAGCAATACCGGGCACTGGTAATGTCAAGAGTCCGGCGTACATCACATCGAGAGGCCGGTTCACAAAATGGTGTGAGTGCATTGCTTCTTGTAGCTGCGCCGGCAGGTCCAGCCCCCATGCCCAAATGGTTAGTGACTTTGGAACCTCGAAAATTGAATAGTCACAGCCACGACCACAATGCACGATCACTGGACATGCGACTGCTTGGGCAGAACTTGTCGTCTCCCGATGGCAAACATACTGTAACAAGTTCGACGGGAACTTGTTTTACAACCTTACTCGGCCAGAGCAGGTTCTGGACAACATGGATTGAGGATTGTCTGCGCGAGATCCCAAGTGTGAAGCCGAACTGCAACGACCGGATCAAAATCTGGCGGATGTCTAGACAGTACTGAGAGAGTGGGCCCGGAAGGCGAGAGGGTTGTTGCATGTCGTTGCGATTGCTGTTTCGGAGAATGAGCTACTTCTTGGATCTTAGGGGGCATGAGGACTCCAGAGTGTCCTTTTGCATCCGTGGCTTCCTTCAAAAACTTGTGCCAACCACTCCAGTTTGGAACCTGCAGCAAGGCGGACTGGCTCAGCCGGCCTGCCTTTTCCAGAGATGGAGAGTGTCAAAAGCACGCAGAAACGCTGACTAAAGATCGAGAGATGCGGTACCCCAAACTGCTCCCGACCTGGATACTGTATGTTATACTGGACAGCATGTCACTATTCGCACTACTGTTCCACTACTGTTCCTTAAGATGTTTCACACCGAACAAATACTCGTAGCTCCCAATCACTTTCAGTTCAATCACCACGAAACATGAGAAGCAGGAAACACCCGAGAAGGGTAGCTACCTGTTGCCGAACATGTAGATGGCGAGAAAGTCTGAACAATTAGCTGCGCTTGTACTCTACTGCTGCGCTCCACTTCGCTTGGCTATGTATGGCTGAGTTGTCTGGTAATGCTTCTGCAAGTGTTCTAAGTCTTGAGGCTCACGCCGAAAGCTCCCTGCAGGATCGAACGCGCATCGGCCTTGGTTTGGGTCTCTTCTCCGCGGCTGGACGACGCTTGGCCCCTGAGTTTTTCTCTTGGGCTGCCAGCTCCAAAGACAGCTTGCGCAACACTGAGGAATTTTGTTCGGCCTCGTTGGCGATTGGGCTCCCGGGGGGCGAGGATTGCACCTCCGTTCTGCAGTCACCAGTCTTTGTGTCTTGTGCGCGTATTTCATATAGGGTTTTCCAGAGGCGTAGGACTCAATCCTGGTGAGCATCAAAACTAAAGCCAAAATGCGCAGCGCATGACAGAGGTGTCAGGCCACATTACTGCAGATTGGAGACATTTGCCCGGTTCGGACATGTACCAGTAGAAGTGTTGTAATTGACGGCATGTGCAGCATTTGATCACGCAGGAGTGTTCCCATTTTGTAGCAGTGCCAGAATGCCACAATCTCAAAAGGGAGATGGTCAAGTCGTTTCGATGTCTCGGTATGTGTTGGTGCCTTTTGTCCACGTCGGACTCCGTATAAGGGCTTGGAAATCCACGTTCGTGCGCGAGTGAAAGATGCTGCTAAGTGTCTCCGTCTTCGATGGGGGAACCGAACCCGATTGGCTGATGCTGGAGTCGACTGTTTGATGCCTCACCCTTCTGATAGCAGAGGCTTTCGAGTTTGCTGAATGCTGAATGAGCGCTTCTGCTGCAGTAACTGCCGTATTTTCTCTTGTCGACTTGGCCTGGAGGGCGCATCGGACTCGAGCTCGGCTTCGTTGGTAGCATTGGCTCCTCGGTGAATTGCATGTTGTAAAGGTTTGCTGTAGGTCACATCTTCAAGCAGGACCAGTCATCGTAGCAAGTGTTTCGAGCCTCAGGTTTATTCCAGCTGGCATTCTTGCTGCTGGAACGAGCCTTGACAGCAGAGTCGCAGTGTAGGTTGTGTTGGTCCGCTGTCCGTGAACCGGCTCCCGACACCACGTGTACTGCAAGGGTCAACGCAGGATTCACAAATTTCGATTTGGACGTCTGTGACCAGGGCTTCTCGTAAAGCACTGCGCTTGTTGCAAAGCCGAGATGATCAACGGTCCTTCTTCGAGCTGGCCATGCAGCCTCCAAGCTTGCAGGGGTTTTGTGCACACAAGACGTAGATGCAGGTCCTGTGCCCCAGAAGGTCAAAGCACAAGGCTGCCAAGTAAGCAGCAGGCTTGTATGAAAATCCAAAGCCTGGTTTGCCCAAAGGCCGCGCATGTGCGGAGGTGTAGTGGTCTTTGGATGTGCCGCCGAGCGCCCGAAGCCGGAAACTCCGACTCCCTAGGCTTCAGTGCTTGGGCTACGGTGGCCTTCTGTGTTTGGCACCAGTGGCACTTCGGGCGGGCTTTCCTGTCCAGGCGCTTGTGGGGAGCTGTGGGTGTACGATGGATTCAGCTCGACACGTCGCGCACTGTCTATAGACCTCAACAGGAAGTCTGATACCGCCTTACCCTCGAAGGTTAGCAGAATTTTCCTTGGCTCCAGCCGTGCAATGCTCTTCAGAGGATTTGGGAACCAGCTTCGGGCTGCTTTACCAACTCCTGGCAGTCGCTCAGATTGCAAGTCTCTTGCGTGTTTTGAGTATTCAAGTGCATACGCTAGCATGCAGGTCGCTCCTGGGAGATGTTATGCGATGTTAGCAGGTTCTTCTGCAGAATCTGTTGACAAGCTTGATGTAGATCCTTACCTTTCTCGTCTGGAGCTCCACAGAAATAGCACACGTCGTCTATATCTTGACGAGTTGACTGCGACGGTTGCTTCGGGAATCATCTCACAGTTCCATTCGGTGTTGCCTTGTGACGTCCCCGTCGTTTTGACGGCATCCTTCTTCGAATATTTAATCCAGCTACCCAGGTGACTTTCACTGTCTTCAACTGGGCTGCGGTACCGAACACTGGATGCGTGGGGAGCGAGTGCTTCCAGAGCTTTTTCAGCGTGGCTTCGATACTGCATGCAGGCCTCTCGACCGGTGGATTGAGAGAACACATGCAAAGCCAAGCTCAGGCAAAAATCAGCAACAGCTGTATGAACTCGCACATGATGTAAAGCATTTGTCCCCCCTCCGCGCTGACAAGGCTGTTTGATTTGGGCACTGACACGGCTGGCTCGCGCCTCTCAAAAGAGACCTACCTGGCGAAGTGAGAAGTTGATTCAGTGACATTCAGTGTGTAGTACCTCGCTTGTCGCTGTGAGCTTCAGTGCCCAGTCAGGATTGCGTCAACGTCCTTGCGTGCCAGAAAACTCTGAGCCATGGCAAAGACCCGGCGCAAAGATGACAACGGGGTTCAAAGATTTTAACCAGTTTAACGTGCTTTGCGGAGCAGGGGTCCATGTGTCGCCTGTGTGGCTCGTCAGCAACTACATCCATGCAAGGACCGACTCACAAACCGAAAATACTGGTGCTTACGGTGCGCAGAACTCGCCGTCAGTTTAAACGCTTTTGCGTAAACAGCAGGCACTCATGGACACCCTGGTTCTAAGACGGGGTTTGACCCATGTTGCATTCAACGGCAGCTGCATCAAACGTTGAACTTATAAATCTGGACCTGAACCCGAATTCAAAGCTCCTCACGAAGGTCTGCACTTAAGATAGTTGTGGCAGCATCTTTCCATTTCGTTTCGTGGAGCAAACTTGAGTATCCATGAAGCAAGCCACAGTTCTCAGAATCGCTCCTGCTAAGCTCTTGGGGCGAGAATGCACACTTGGGTGCCTTGGGACTTCAACACGTTAGCCAGAGTGCGACGTGCAGCCAACTTGGTGACCGGCGGTGGTTCCTCGGGGATGTTTTTCTCAAGTCCCACCGTCCGAGGCGTTGTTTGACAAGTAAACAACTGGCCTCACCAAGCTGCCAGGAGAACGTGCGGGGAGTAGAAAATCGAACGACAGACTGAGCCCCGAGTTATCCCGAGTTTACGCACGAACGAAGCCACGAGACTATGGTTGCTGAGGTTGGTTCTCGGGACCTCCTCCCAGGGGTCATGGTTCAGTTCCAAGTCTACGAGGACTGGGACTTTGAATGGAGCCCTAGTGTTTTTATTTATGTTATTCGTTGTCTTTTGGGAATTGCTATTTTTTGTTTTCATGGTTGTCTATGCTTGGGCTTTGTTGGCAAGTTTTGCCTTCTACTTTTGCTTGTCGCTTTCTGGTCGCTTTTCTGCTTTTCCGCTGCTGCTGCTTTGCTGCTGTGTTCGCTTTTCTGTTGTCTCTGATGCGCTGTTCTGCTCGTTTCATCCTTCCTGTCTCGTCCTGCTCCGCTTGTCTCTGCCCCATCACCGATAACAACTGCTACTACAACTTCGACTACTGCTACTTCTACTGCTACTAGTACGATTAGTACTACTAGTTACGAGTACCAGTAGTACGAGTACTACTAGTACTAGTACTAGCACCAGAACTAGTACTACTCGTGCTACAAGTCTACAAGTAGTACCACTAGAGCATGACAAGTAGTACTCGTACTACTAGTAGCAGTAGTAGTAATAATAGTCGTCGTCGTAGTAGTATTACTACTAGTAGCAGAAGTGCTACTGCTGCAACCGCTGCTACTACTACTACTACTACTACTGCTACTACTACTACTACTACTACTACTACTACTACTACTACTACTAAGGTCCATCTACCTCGTTTGCCGCGCCAACGGCGCTGCAAGGGATGTGCTTCAGAGCAACATACAGAGGGTGGTCATCTTAAAACTGTGTTTTTGCCTGGGTTTTAAGCACATTCTGGGTCTTTGCAGGAATGTGTGAAGAAGTGTGAATGTTTGGTTTGCTTTGGAAGAGAGGTGATTTTCTGCGTCGATTGTTTAATGATTTTTCTGAAATCGGTAAAAACCTCGAGTTTTTGCTGTTCCGTGCTTACCGCCTTCTAGGGCGGCAGCAGCCACGACGTGTCTTGGAACGCCTTGTTCGGCACAAGCGAATCCTCCACATCAGCTGCGTAGATGCAGAAGGTTCGCAAAACAATTTCGAAGCTTCATGCTTTCTGCACAAACATAGAACTCAAGGCATCTATGTGTGCACCGGCCTGCTTACGACTACACTAAACTCCTTCGCAGGCTGTGCTTGACATCCTTTTATGAGGATGCTAGTCTTTCTGGTCCTATGTAAGGGTTCCCTGTTCTTGGAAACCCCTATGTAGCTCACTCAGACTCGCAACCTTGATGTATATGGCATGAAGACGTCATCATCGCCCACCCCCCCCAACCCCCACCCATGAACAGTAAACCCTGAAACAGTAAACCCTGAGCGGCAGCTGCAGCAGCAGTAGAAAACCCGTAGTGGCAGGAGTAGGACCAGCAGTAGATGGGATGACGATATCATCAATGAGCACATCATCATGCGGATGTATGGCATCAAGACGTCATCATCCCCCCGACCCCCCCCCAACCCCACCCCCCAAAGTGCGGCAAACGAGGGTGATGGAGCCTACTACTACTACTACTACTACTACTACTACTACTACTGCTACTGCTACTACTGCTACTACTACTACTTACTGCTACTATTAACCACTAACTACTAACTACTAACAACAACCAACAACAACGACAACAACAACAACTACTACTACTACTACTACTGCTACGCCTCCTCCTCCTCCTCCTCCTCCTCCTCCTACTACTACTACTACTACTACTACTACTACTACTACTACTACTATCTGCTACTACTCGTACTAACCACGGTTACTACTACTACTACTACCACCACGACGACGACTACTACTACTGCTACTGCTACTGCTACTGCTACTGCTACTGCTACTGCTATTACTGCTACCACTACAGCTCCTGCTGCTGCTGCTGCTACCACAACCAGGAGCTGCTCTGAAAAATCACAAAACAGCAATTCTCGCACCACATTGAATGTCTGGTCTCCAAACAGCTGCAATGCATCCGGGCAGGACGACTCAGGGCTGGGTGCGCAGAGCTGCACGGTGTGGAATCCGATGATGCCCTTCAAGGGAGGCTTGCATTTTTCGGAAAATTAGGAGGGAGCCATTCCAGAACCTGGCTTTTTGAAACCATCATCACGGGATGGTACACAAGCTTCTTGTGGGCAGCTGCTCGAGCCGATATCTTTGCGAGCTGTTATTCTTGTGCTCGCTTGCATCCCTCCGTTTGGGCAATGGCTGCTTCTTCTCAACGTCAGCAAGCTCTTGACAAAAAGTACCCTCCCCCCGCCACAATCACAAGTTGGTGGTGCAGTGCAGAAGAGTCAACAACAGTGTCAGTGAGAGCCGTCAGGCTGGCAGCCTGGCAAAGGCTCCGGAAAGAAAACCAAGAGCACCGGCCTCGAAGGGGAGCAGATGGGAGCCGTCGGTGTAAAAGCACAGATAGAAGATGATACTCAAGACATGAATCATGGGTTTTCCGTGGTGTTCCTGCAGACTCTGGCGTCGGCATGGTTGCGAGAGGCAGATAGTTCTCAGACGGACTCGCCGCATTGTCAATCAGATTCGGCGTGTGGTCTCGGGTGTGGTCGGCAGATTGCGGTTGTCCCGATCGTGGTGTCCTCAAGGCGTGGGCGGCACTTGACAGAGACACGGTGGGCAAGTGCTGGATCCAAGACCTAGATTTTGGAGCGGAACAATGGCAAGGCATGTGTGGTTTGTGGGTGGTTTTGTCAGCACAAGCAGATACATGATACATGGGTATGTTTTGGGCGTTCCCCATCAGATGCTTCAAGTTGACATCCTTGCGAGTCTACCAAGGCAAGGAAAAAGACAGCAAAGAGCTGCGGCCCTGGAGAGTTTCTGCCACAGCTGAACCTGTGACATCCTGAGCTTTCCTGAGGGGCGTGGAGGAAGCCAAGAGTAGCGCGAGATCGACTCTCAGCCACGTGGTCTGGTCAGGAACAGCCTAGGCCTTGATTGGTCGAAGCTTCACGAAGCGTCGCACCCAGGCCCTGGCGGCCCTGGCAGCCCTGGCACCGAAGCTCCTGGAGGCGCTCAAATTCTCAAAGCGTCCCGTGCTCGAGGCATCTCGAGGTGAGCTCTTTCACGCCAGAGCTCTAGTTTCCAATGCCTGTACATCCATGGCGATCTCGCCAGGCATACTTTGACGAAAGGCGTTGTTTTCGACTCTCAACTCTGTTGAAGCGTACGCCCCAAGTTCCCAAAAGTCAGATCGATGCAAGCGGTAGCAGTCCCCTTCCGAGCTCTGCCGATTGTTTTTCCTACGCGTCCTGCGGCACTCAAGGTCATTGGCTTTAATATCCTCAGGCTGTTTTGAGGTGAAACTGTGAGCCCCACATAGCCCCGGAAACTCTCCGTGCTCCATGACGAGCACGTAGCACGAGACACCCATGCCAGACGCTCGACCGCAACACGCCACACTGAGCCAGGTAGTGCTGCTGCTTTGGCCACAACTCGTTCCCAAAGTCTTGCCAGTCATTCGGTGCACTGCCCGCTAGTACAGTGAAGCCCTGTGCCTCTCGTCACCGGCCTCATTCGATGCGAGACCTCTTTGTCACTGCCTCTCTGTGCGAGCACCTTCAGCGAGATTTTGGTGTCCTTATCTAAATGTACAGACTGGCACATGAAACGTGTGTAATTTCGACGGCCCTTCGCAGCACCGCCTGTGACTGCGGCGCCTGTCGCCAAAGCGACACAACCCAAGGCACGTCCCCGCGATGGTCTCTCTACTGCATAGGAGGGCTTGGTGGGTTTCGTGAGTTCCCGCATGTTCCCGCGATGAGCAGCATTAGCGGAAATGTGGCAATTGATTTCGTGCCTTCGATCCTTTTCGGAGTTAATCAGACTATATAATTAGGGACCCAAAAAGCACATAAGCATAAGCGTTTTATAGGGATATCCCTACCTTATTGGGCTTCATTATAAGAGGATTTATATGGGATATCAGGATCCTAGTTTTTTTCTTACGTGCTTTTTTGGGGCCCTATATAAGTCCAGGGACATGGCCTGTATCAAGCGCGTGTCCAGATTCAAGCGCAAGCGCCGCAGGCCAAAGCGGGGAAGAGCGCAGGTCCAGGCACCGACCATCGCCTTTGGCGGGAATTGCATTGGTGCCTGGTAGTTGGACGGCTCAATGTGGCTCCTTGGACTTCGTCGTCCCACTTTGAAAGCCAGCACGATAAAGAGAGAGAGAGAGAGAGGTCTCGAAGAAGAGAGAGAGACCTCCTCGAAGCAGTTTTGCCTCTTTTCCGGGGGAGCTCGATAGCGACCGCGGCAGCTTTCAAAAAGACCGAGTACAGTCTGAGGGGGACTCTGAGTAATAGGTGTGAACTCTTTTAGGCTCGTCAGCCACTCTCCATTCCAATCGTACAAGGGGACACAGCGCCCGTAATCCTTGTTTCTTTTAAACTCGCCTTGTAGCTCAGCAGGTAGTCAAGACTCTTCAAATTCGGGGGACCAGAAGGCGTAAATTCGCAACACACAAGCTGTGGGAACCTGTGGGAGAACCATGCATGTTTTTCCTTCTGCCCTGCCATTCAGCCTAGTGGGGGCGACGGGGGGGGAACGCAATCTTGTACTTATTCGGCCGGTGCCTTACCTGTATCTTAGTGAGGCTTCGTGTCTTGGCTGCTTCCAGTTGCTGCGTTCCCTGACTTCGATGCCCCTACAACCCTTTCGGGCTCTCTTTCCAGTACAGCCGAGCCTCTCGGGGAAAATCCCCCTGGGGGAACCGTGAGACACCCATGAACCGCGGGTGCGCGCTCGCGCGCGGGGGGTCGGGACGGACGCTTCCCAGCTCCTCTGTCCCTGGAGAGAGAGAGAAAGAGAGAGAGAGAGAGAGAGAGAGAGAGAGAGCGCGCCCCAAAAGCGCAACATAGGGGGGCCCCAAGTGAGCCTTACCAGCTCCCTATGCCCGGCCAGTTTGCATGTGTTGAGTTGTTTGGTGCAATCGGGGGACCAGTGCGAAGTTGATATGTGTCGAACATGGTGCAGTCGGCAATGTTTGGGGGGAACCTTGTGTGACATTTGTGCACTGTTGTGTGTGGTAACCTGTCTGCTGATTGGAAGTCTGAAGCCGGAGCGAGTTGTGATGTTGCAATAAGCAGCGAGTTTGGACGACAGAGCTAGCGCCTGGGGTTGAGATGAGGCCGTGGGGGGAATATAGTGTTCTTTCACGGATATGGGGGTGACACGGTTGCAGACCGGCCCACCTCACCCCGTGCTCTTCCACACCGACAGACAGTGGCAACCAGGGCGCATTCGTGCGCGGAGGGGGGTCATGCTCCCTTCTTGGCCCAGCGCAACACAAAGAGAGCGCGGAGAGTAGGGGAAGCTGCCTTCCTGTGGGTGTGCGGGTCCTCTCTTCCCATAAATTTGAGAGGGGGAGGCGCGGGCTTGGTAGATCGCGAACGCCATGCAAGCAGGCTGGCAAGAGCAGACGACCAGAGGAGGCATTTGTCTGGCCTCGTAGAGAGAGCGAGGCTGAGAGATCATCGAATGCGCTTGTCGTCCTCCCTTCAATTCCCTCCGAGTCGCTGGTCCTATCCCAGACACAGAGGTGATCATCACCTCTGTCTTGTCCGAGGCAATGCTGTTGCATTTTGGTGGATGTCAGCTTCAATCCTGACATGGTCTCTGTCAGTTCATTCTCAAGCCGCTCATTAGCGAGCCACGGCCGTCGACGTCCGCTTGCAGGACACACATTTCTCGTTGCTGGCAGTAATTCCGCGGTGCCAGGCGGTTAGATGTGACATGATGGTTGCAAAATCGAAGCCGGGTTCTGTGCAAACTTGACACATGTGCTGAGAAGACGGTGGAACTTTTGTAGACTTGGCCTGGTGCAAGCGGTGCGACAGCTTTTTGCACCTCAAATGTTGCTAAGCGGTTTATGTTTATCGGTCGGGACACTTAAGAAATAATCTTCGTGCATGCGCATGCCCCGAAAAAATTGAACCTGCAGAAGGACCTGTGTCGATGAGATGTAGCATGAAGGACTGCAAAACGCTGATCCAGTCTCAAGAAGGTTTTTCTTCTGCAGAAGTGCGGCTAGCAACAGTACCAAAGCATGCACTTCAGTGTTGGAAACAAAGTCGCCCAAAAAGTGCGAGATCCAGCGCAACCACGGCAGATGGTTTGCATCATGCCATCCTCGGGCTGAGGGATGTTTTGGAATAACTGGGTAGGCAATCGCCGTCTCAGAGATGTCCCTGCGCTTGCGGGGTTGCCATGGGTTGCCTCTATCCGACAGGCTAGGTTGTCAAGCGTCACGGGTCTTACGCAACGCGACTCTCCGTGCTCTTTTCGGCCGGACTCCTTCACGGATGGTAGCGTTTTCCCTGCCCGCCCAATCTTCATCACTCGTTCATCCTCCTAGCACGGACCATCTGGCAAAAATAAATTCGCAAGCCGGGGCAGCGACTTGCTGCAGGACAGATGACGGCAAGCTCCTTCCTGGAATGCCTTCAGGCCATGTCATGTGCTTGCCTTAGTCGTACGCCCATCTTCATCGTGAGCTGGCATCACTTAATCTCACGGCCGACAATTTGCAAGGATTTGTCAGAGCCTCTTGACATTCTTTATGTTGGAGGCACTCGTTGGGCTGTCTCTCATGATGTGCTGGAGCTGATCTCTATTGGCACATAGTGGCTCTACAAGTATTTCTTGCTGCCCTGTCTGACTGACTGCTGAATGCTTGATGCAATGTTGCACTCCTGATATTCCAAATCAGGCTGTGCGGCATCATCTGCTTTCAGCAAGGGTCTTAGCACTCGACGACCGTTCGCCAAAGCGGCATGTATGCTTGGGTTGCATTAGGTTTCTGTTCAGGCAGTCATTGTGTCGCTGTTGCTGATGCCCGCAATGCCTTGGGCCCGCACGTCGCTGAGAGGACGAGTGGACTAACAGGAGAGTGAATGCGGAAGATGGTGTAAGAATGGTTTCCGAGGTTGGTACAACGGCGACCACAGCGCAAAACAGGCCAGTTGCACTGCAACTTCAGACTTCGAAAGTGGTCGTGTGTTGGTTTACGCTGATCAGGTGGCTCTCACGTTTATCATGGCCACTGTTATAGGCCCGAAGCTCCAGAGCAGAACACAGGCTAAGACAGGACCTCACGGAGCACATTGAGGTTTGATCGATTATGTTGCGTTCCTGCTGTTCTTCGTGGACGGCTTCTGTCCCAGTCACTACTTCGAAAAGCTAGCATCGTGGCAACAGCAATGACTCCCGAAGGTTGGGCCAGCGAGACAGAGAAGGTGTGGCCCGAAACGAATTCACACATTGCGGCTTTCTTATCATTTTCATTCGAGGGTCTGTAAACACTACAGATGAAGCGAGGTGCTGCTAGCAGAAGTTGCATCGCTACCATCTCCATCGGGAGGCCCATGGCAGCCAGTAGCAGTGCTGGATTGCCGCCCCTCAAGCCTATCACAGCATCTGTGGATCGTCGAGGTCGCACTCTGCCGTGAGCAGCATCGAAGCAGACTCACACACAGAGAGACAAATCAACGACACGCGCAGACATGTACCCAGTCAAGCGAAGCTCTTGATGCAGTTTCACCCACGGTCCAAGGCGGCCATTCACTTGAAAACGGAGCTGCCAGAGCACGTTTGCTCGTGACTTTGATCCTTCACCAACAAGATCAATCCGGTTCGGAGCATTTTCGGGGCTCGAGTACGACAGCGACAGCAACCGGGAAGCACTTCCAGTTTCGCAATGACTCGCTTCATCCTCGCACTTATTGTCGCCTGCGCTGTTGCAGAGCCGCAAAGGCACTCACGCGACATTGAGTATAAGTTAGTGTCACCTTTTTTGACTTTGGAGCCGTCCTCAGGCAGGAACCTTCGCTTCGTGGAGCGGACGACCTCATTGCTCGTGCCCTGTTTCTAACGCTCTAAGGTATAGGCAGTACTTCCTGATTGCATCGAACTCATCGCGTTCTTGGATGCATCTGTCTGAACTTCTTAACGGGGGTGAAGCCGGGAGCATGGGTACTGCAGTGACTATGCAAATCCGGAGCTGTGGAGCCTGGTTTACCTGTATATTGGTGAGCTCGCACTGAGTAGCGACGACAGGCCTCTGTCAGGCCAACACTCCCTCGCTCGCTGCATCCCAAAACCTTCATAGAGCATACCTACTCCCGCAAAGCTTCTTTGAGGCGTGTCGAGCAGCTCCGGTGACCTTCCGGCATGCACAGGAGCTGGAGACTTCCCGAGTGCTGCTCCTCTCTGCAGCTTGACTGAATGCCTCTGGCCTCGTTTCTACTGCACAGAGATATGCAAAGTGTTCCTGCTTGGTTCTGATGATTATGCAGACTAGACGCCGCAGAGTGCTCCTTTCATGTGATTCGCCATCACGAGATCGATTCCGCAAGGCTTTGAGGTTTGGAATGCCATAAATGAGTCTTTAAGGCTACGGCGGCCAGCTCTTGGTGGAGACATTTGCGATCAAGGTTGTCAGCTACGACGGTGCTTCTGGAGTGGCTACCTGGCCGCATGAAAAGGCTTTGCCGGCTGTTCCATGAAGGCTCGCCGCGGCGTTTTCAGCAGCGTTGCTTGCTGCAGCCCACATCCCCTTCTCCCCTTCAGTTCACAGGCCACGTGCGTATTCTCGCTTCATGCTGGAGAGGCGAAATGTGAGACAATCCTGGAAACCTTCGGACTAAAGTGACTAAAGCGAGTGCAGGTCCTGTGCTCCTCAGGTTGATATGGAAATGAATGGCCCGCAGACCGGCCAGTGCTCCGGTGCAGCCTTTCACAACAATGACAACGTCATCACGATTGCAAATGAACAAGAGTACCCAGCCTCAGCGCATGCTTTGACTCTGTCCGCAGTCGGACTGCCGCCCTGACCGAGGTGTGGTCTCGCGGGCTCGGAGTATACTGTTCGCTACTGCTCGGGTCTCAGATCTTGTGGGTTCAGCAAACCTGTGGCTCCGATGTTGCTCCGTGCTGTCATCTCTCAGAAGCCTTCAGCCCCAGCGAATGGGCCTCGTGAAGATCGCGTGTGACAAACAAGCTGTCCTAGCGAATGCAGCGTTGCAAAAGTGCCCATAGTGCCAATGATCCATCATCGTTCGAAACGAAGCTGTGCTTTGTATGTGATGTCCTTCCCAGGCCCGGACCAGGACCACTTCATCATCAACCTGGTGAAGCACCATGAGCCGAAATACAAAAGAATGATGCGCTCCACTGCTCCACTTTACGAGTTTTGTCGGCTTCTTCGCTTCACCGTGCAGGCCATGGAACGTGGATGTTGTCCTCACCAGCCAAGCCTGCCCGTCGTCACTGAAGCAGGATGGGAATTCAGAGCCTGAAAAGCAGGCTATTTTGCCATGATGTATTGCCGAAGTGAATCTGCGGCAACTGTGTTCCTTGTGTTCGTGAAGTTCGCTGACAAGCAGTGTACAATGCGTCAGCCTTTTGGGGCTAGCAACGTCTAGCTGTTGTGGCAGAAGCCAAAGTCAATGCAAGCCTGCACTGGAATCCCGTGACATGATGGTGTGCCAAGCGCCTTGTGCATCTTGCCATGGTGTTTCTTGTTGTTGTCCTGGTCCTGTGCTCTCACCAGCTCGCCAGGCCCCACTTTGCCTGCTGTTGGCTCATGACTTTTGAGACCTACTGTTGCCCTATGTCCCCATGTTATCCTTCTTGTCTCCGTACCTGCATAAAGCTGCCACCGATCCTGAAACGACCCTGGTTGCCGTCCATAGAGGACGCATGACATCTGCCCTTTGCATCACCTTGCGACAGCTTGATGGATGGCGAGCGAGCGAGTCAGACGGAGACGTCTTTGTCGCCATGCGAGGCTCAGCGACGCAGCATTGCTACGGGCACAGCAGAGCCCGTGCCCGATCAGCGAATTCTTAAGCGGAAGATGGTCTTCAGCGACCCGCCTCTGTGCCCTTTTCTTCATGCCTGCATTCTGAAAGGGTGTCCTTTCAAGCATCAGCGAACGCTTCTGCAACCCTCTTCACGGATGCCTCGGCCGATTCATTACAACATCTGTGCAAGCGACGACTGCCATGCGAAAGCTCTGCCTGGCCAATTCTGTTGCAACCCTTGCGAGAGTGAGTACTCTGGCGGAGCACGTTTGTTCAAGCAATGTCCTGCTCATAAAGGCCCCTGCAAGATCGTACCCGGCTCGCGGCACTGTTCCGACTGCCTAGGCGAGGAGGACCTTGATACCAGCGACCTCCAGCAGGAACCCCTTCCTTCACTTCCTGCGAAGCGTCGCAAGGGATCGAAAGATACAGGGCCATGCCTGTAGGTTCGTCTCAGGTCAAGCCTTCAAGTTGTCTGCGAGTACGGGCAAAATGACATCGTTATTTGCTCATACTTTTGCTCACAGCGTCTCACAGCAACTCTACTTCGATTAGAGAAGCCACACGATCCGGCTGACTCAACTGCGCCGGCGTTCTTGTATCCTCCCCGGTAGTAGTCTTTCCAGTTTTGCTCCCTTGATTGGAAACACAACTGGACCCGGCCAAGGCCAAGCCGCATAAGCCGCCAAGCCCTTGCTAAGCCCTATCCCACTGACAGAGCACACAGTGCCCTGGTGCCCTGGCCTTGGCCAATGCTAAGCCATGCTTTGGCCTTGGCTGCTTCTGGGGCTTTGTGTCCCCACTCGCGCCGCCTATTTCTTTGTGGAGGCTCTGCAGTGCCGAGGGTCTTTGCGGGAAACGACTTTTCGCTCTCTGAGGAGGGATCCGAGAGGTGCTTCCAGCAGGAGGTGCAGGGCTCGGAAGCTGTGCCATTCTGTGCTTCCTTCGTGTTGCAGCACCGTGTCATAAATTGCCCCTGCCTAAACTGCTCTCTGCCGTGTCTCCCTGGCTAAGCTGTGCCTGCAAGCGTAGCTCCAACATACTGGGGCTCACATTGCTCCACAAGGATTTCTGCGTTCCATCATGTCGATTGAAAGGCCTCCAGCCTTCCACACTGACGTGAGGACCTGCAGTGTGCACGCGCTGCAACTGCAAAGGAGGATTGGGGTGCAAATTGGCAAAACCGAGCAACCTGCGCCCAAAGCCATTAAACTCGATGGATAATGTTAAACTTGCATGCCATTTTCTTGGTACAGCAGTGGTGGGGCATACAAACAAGCACACACCAAGTCTCTGAGGTCTTAGAAAACCAGGCCAGGCCACCGGGATCATGTAGCATGACCATGTTCGCCCTGCATATAGAGTCTAGAGTCCTGGGCATCGTTATGCGTGCAGATCTTGAGAGTCATCTACAACATGAATGACAAGGAGGCAGCTGACATCGAAGCATGCTCAAAAATAATGGCATTGTGCTGCAGGTTCTGCCGCTGGCAGAGTGTCGAATCCTCGTGAAAAGTCCATCTGACGAGGCCGGCCGGGCCGCACCAAAAAATGCTGGATGTTTTCCCTTTCCCGCCAGGTGGTGAAGGACCATGCTCTCGTCGATGGAAACACAGGGGTTGCCAGCCAAGAGCTGCATGCAAGAAGGGCCCACAGCAGCCCGACGGACCGCCCGACGGACCGCCCGACGGACCGAGGCATTAGCCTTGCTTCCCAAAGCGACGGGGACCCACAGCATCTGCGTGCACTGCGCAGCACAGGCCTGGTCGAAGGTTTCACCTCGTAGACAGCACAACACCATATCAATGAAAGCCAAAGAATCGAAGAAGCAATGGACGAAAGTGTCAGGAATCCTTCTATACTTCTCGACGTCTTGAGACCACGCCCGATCTGCCAGGGCTCTTCGATCCTGGACTTTGGTCGCGGAAGGAGTCTGCCGTGCTATAGCTTGCGAGCTTTGAGTCTGTGATCGGCTGCATGCGAGCGCAGGAAGCTGCGCTGGCTCGACTGGCCTGTTTTGCCTGTTTCGGCAACGCCTACCCTGGAGAAAGCCTGTCCAGGTCCATCGCCTTCGATGTGCTTGGTCGACCTGTCCTGGTTGAAGCTCTGGACTGGAGTTTGCAGTGCGCGACCAGGCGCTTCCAGCATGGGCCTGCTGCCGGACTCGCTAACAGATTCTTCATGTGTGCGAGCCGAGCTGACTCTCACATACCTTCCAACAGGACCCGAAGAACGCAGCCAGCCTCTCCCTGTTGAAAGGCACACAGGCCAGCATCCGATCGTTCTGGTGCTTTTCGCAGCCGCTTGGAGCTTTGCAGGCCCAGGTGGACTTGATCTTGGAAAGGATAAGTGCAGCATCCTCATAGAGTCTTCATTTTCGATGTCCTGATAGAGCAGAAGAAAGGCCATCAGCACGGAGAATGACTATGAGAAAAGCTTTGAGGCTTTTCTGCGACGATAGAACGATGGAAGAAGTGCCGGAACACTTTCGAGCTGAGGCAAAGTTTGTGAAGACTTCAGAGGCCGTCAATATGGATGTTGCAGCCTTCAAGTTTCTGCAGGCGGGCTGATGTGCGAGAGATTTGCGGAGTGGCGCAGAAGTCCAAACCTGTGCCAGATCCTGCTCATTACGGGTGTGGCTGCTTTTCAGAGACTTGTCTGCAGATGCACTTGTGCCAGCCGGCATACTGGTAGCAGGCACTCAAACATTGGTGCTGAAGTCTCGTCAAGTCGATTCCAGTTTAGATTGTCTTTTTTTCCAGTTATTGCGTACAAATCCTATGTTGCAGGCGGATGTTATTTTTTTTGCGAGACTTGCGCGGCCCACGGTGTGTACTTGCAACAGAGCAGACACAAAGGATCCACAACCTGGCCAAGTTCCTGCAAAGGCGGGACGATCCTGCTTCGTTGGGGTACTTTCTGGGAAGCCAGGTCCGAGCCCCCCGACCCTCTTGTGGTTGCCAGCTCCAACGATTGTTTGTTCGCCATGGTGGAGTTTTTCACGTCACAGTCGGGGAGACGTGATGGCAATAATACGTAGCATTGCAGTATTTGTCGTGAGTTGCAGACATGCGGAGGAACAAGTTCTTGGAGTGCTGCCTCCCAATGGCCATGCGCAGCAAGCCCGCTGCAGCGCTCTAAGCTTTGTCAAGCTTTGAGTGTGAAGAAGAATCGCACTGACTTTAGTGTGTTTTTTTGCTAGTTGCCAGTCAGTGGGCACGCTGTCGTCCTTGGTGGTTGTGCAGTTGTGATGCCAGGACTTCTTGACAACTTGTTGCCACATGGGCCATGATTGTGTTCGTTTGCATTGATGGTATGAACATGAGGTAAATAACAGAGTTACGACGCTGTCCAAGTTGCCTGTCGCGTACGTGACTGACTTTGTCTGCCTACATCGCCAGGATTAAAGTTTCGTCGCACTTGCCTATGGGGTCATTCCGCAGGGCGCAAAGTATCGTGGAGTACCGAAAAGTGCGTTTGAATTTCACGTGGCCTGGCTAGCGGAGCAATTAGCCCATGAGAACAAGATTATACTACTGTCTGCTCCGAACCGAGGACTCTGCCGGAGGAGTCTAAGGGAGAAAGGGACTGTGCGGAGTGTTCACGACCAACATGCGAGAGTACGACGAACTTTCGTCCTGCGGCAGTGTGGGTTTAGTGGCCGATAGTCCTGCAGATTGCAGTTGGTGAGACGGTGCAAAATATGTCCATAATCTATGCAAGACCTGTAAAGTGGAGTTGCTTGCGCTGAACTCTGGCACCAAAAACTGAGGCTGCCTCACTGTAACGTAACCTTTTTGGTCAGCAAATCTTGCTTGACTTGTTGCTGTGTGACTTCAAAGAGACAGTCTAGCTCCGATTTGTACCGGTCAGCCCCACAGATCTTTAGGCTTCAAACTTGCCTGTAGGATCATGCGGATGACCCTGAGTACCGTGGAGTACCGAACAGCGCATTTTACGTGGCTGGCTAGCGGAGGAATTAGTCCACCGGCATACAATTCTGCGGCTTAATGTTCCGGACGGAGGACTTTGCTGGAGGAGCCTAAGGGGGAAAGGGACTGTGCAGAGTGTTTGCGACCAACATGCGAGAGTGCGACGAACTTTCGTCCTTCCGCAGCAGAAAGGCTAGCTGCCGTACCAAGCATGTGGATCATCCGGCCAAGTAGGCCGTGCATATCGGTCAAGGTCTGATGTCGCGGCTACATCAACACGTCGGGTGGCTGAGATCGGGCTTGGAGCAACATGTAGATCATGTAGAGACCGAGCACACAAGCATCACGAAAAACATGCACCTGTGACCTGCTCGGCTGCAATGCTGTAGAATGGTGTTCAGAGTGCTTAGGGTGCATCGGCCATGTCAGCTTGCGGTGTTTCGGCGGGAGAGCCATCAAGTCGTCCTCATGCACAGAACGGATTATTGGCATTTTGGGAGCCATTTCGTAACACGGCTTGCGACTGAAAGAACAAGTTACCACGAACAAAGATGCAACCAACTCACTCTTCACCTCCGCACAAAAAGCGTCGTGCCTAGCAGCAGATTGAAGAAGCATCGCCGTGCATTTCGGCCATGCAGAACGCATGTGGCTACAGGCGTGATGTGATGCTGAAGTGGTACACATCACAGACTGTCACAGACCACCAGTTTCAGAGGTAACACAAAGATCATTCGATGGGCTGGCTCTCACCGGTCTGTCGCCTACAACCGGCGACAACACGCCGTCCTGACAAAGTCTTTACTGAAATTGAAAACACAGGCAGTGCGGAGCTTCTGGCTACTCTTCGCAGCTGAGCTGGCATTTCGCTCAGCTTGGATCTGTTTCAAGAAGCTCTTCTTTCTCCGTCTGCTGTCTGCAGGCCTCGCAAGCTGCACGGGCGAGTGCATCATCAGCCACAGCACGCAGAGCTGCAGAGGTTGCTGAGTCTCGATTGTTTTTGCTGAGCTGCAGCTCACGGGAACTTTGTTTGCTTTGCAGGAGTCACGCGGCCCACCGTGGACGTATTCGAACCAGGACATGCGAAAACTGCAGACGGCATGCAGATTTAGGTTTCGCCAATGATCAATGCTTTCTCTCGCAAAAGCATGCCACTGATAGAAAACAGGGCCAGTGGGGCAAACTCAGCTCTTTGACGGCAATAACCGCGACACTGCGGTACTAGATGATATTAGCAGATGCGATTCGTATCAAGGCGGTTCCAAGTGCGGCGGCTTCGGGGCCGCTCGGATGCACTCTGGCAATCGCTTGTTGAACTCTGCCTACCTGAAGCCTGAGTCTATCTGGTTCTCTCCGCAGCGCAGGACCAGTCGCCTATCGACATCGTTCGCAGCTCAGACCGTCGAGTTGGCTCTCTGCTCTTTTGGCCGATGCCTTGCTTGTTGTCGGCTCCAGCAATCTCCAGTGACCCGCTCTCTTCACAATTTGCCGTTGTTGTAGTAAGTCTTCATTATCATGGTCTTCATCCCCGCACAATGCTACACAGAGTTGTTGATTGGTGGCACTGAAAACACATGATCTGCAGTTCTCTTCCTGTTGCGCAGCCGAACGCAACACTGATGGCAGACTCGTATTCCACAGGGACACAATGTGAAGCCCAGGTACAGTATGAATGTGTTGACTTTGACTTGCTTCCCGTCATCATTGAAGATACTCGCGAATCCGGCCTGCCCTTGCGCACTCGGGGACGAAGTGCTCGTCCAAGAAACTGCAAAAGCTTCAGCAGCGTCCAGCGTGGCCCGCCGAACCTGGGAAGATCCAGATCCCCTCCAGAATCAATCAAAATTTCAGATGATCTGGAGATGATCCTCCCGCAAGCTGGCAGTCGACATGCCCGTGCGAGTAGCTATCGAGTCGCGGCCAGTTCTAGAGCTGCTGCGCGCCTGGATTCACATCTGGCAGCGATGTATTTGGATCCCTTCCGCGGCGACATGCCAAGGAATTGCAAGGTTTGTCAGCAGGTCTTCAGGATGGGAGAGCTGATTCTGGGTTACATGCTCGAAGATCTCATGTTGCGCCCAAAGTGGATCCACGTGAAATGCGTGCGGCGTGCACGGCTTCAGACTGTCGGGCAGCGAGTTGCCCACAATCCTACCATCTCTGAAGCTACGCTGCAAGAAGCTCTCTTGGATCTGGGACATACGCCACGGCAGCCAGAGAAGCTAGTCTGCTGGAGCTACTTGCCAGCATCGGTACACAGGTGGCCCAATCAGCTTGTACATGCGGCGCCCGAACCTGAACCGGTCGAGGACAGCCGTCCCAGGTCGGATTCTGAGCATTCGGAGCAGGCCATTGCTGCCATTCTAGCAGCACTTCCATGCTCCCAGTTGTCATCAGCTATGGAAGCCTGTGCCATCTGCCACCAAGTCATGTCTGAGGGCGAGATGATATGCTTCTTGCCATGTGCCCACACATATCATGTGGGCTGCATAGATTCGTGGTTGAGGATTCGTACTACTTGTCCCCTCGACAACAGGGACATTCAGCAAATGCTGACGCAGCCAGACTGCAAAAAGACCACAGAGTTGTCGTGAAGATGCGCGCCTTCGTTGTCAAACTCGTTAAGAAGTTCTCGGCACGCTGCTATTAACGAGTGCTGGCTCAAATGACCAGCAGGGGGCATGTAGTCCTTGTGAACCGACGCGCCGGAAGCATTTTCAGCAGGGCTCTCGGTCGCTGCAAGAAGTAATTTGCAGGTCTTACTTGGATTGCGCCTCGTTGAAAGTTGAAGCTCTGGCAGGCCTCGACTCAAACCATGGCCGGCTCGAGTGTCGCTCGCTCAGGGCACAAGGGATGCCTTTTGCGAAGGCAGAAGTCTGCGCAGATTATATCCCGCTTCTAGCGTATCAAGGTTTGGGCAGAGCTCTTCAACTCCCTGCCGGAGCCGCAATCGGACTATCCACCCTTGGATGAAAGGCGCGCCGGGTCCACCCCGCTTTCTTGCTGTTGGAGTCGCAACAGAAGGAACGCCGAAGCATGGCATAGCATGGAGAGTCTGATGATCAGTGGGAGGCCTTTTCCGGAGCGTTTCACCGACGACTTCTTCAGGGACCGCCTGCCGGAGCTCGAGTTCCGCCTCGAGGAGGCCCCCGATTAAGCGTGGCCCCCTCTTGCATCTGCTTCTGCAGCCCCTCTTCCTTCGATAGCTGTTTCAGAAGAGAGGCATGTGTCAAGGGCAATATCCAGGAGGCGCATCCTAGAAAATGCACCGGCTTCTGCGATCACTCTAAAATCTCCTGTGAGGTGCACGACCTTATCCTCAAGGGTGCGAACAAGAATGCACCGCTGGATAAGGAGCTCAAGACGCCGCCCCTTGACACATCCAGAGGCAAACTCCGTCGTCGCACTTTGATCTTTGCTTATGCAAGGCTGATGATAGCTTGTCAACTTGGCTGGCTTGGCTCTCAGCATCGCCCGCTGGACGATGCTCGGGGGAGCAGCCTTTTAAGCGCACGGGTGCTCAAGCTTCCGAGGTTTCACTTGGTGAAGTGGCTGGTTGAGTTTGAGGGAGTGGACATGGATGGGCCGATTTCCAGATGCGGGTTCAGAGCCATCGATTATGCCGGGAAGGCATGGGCAAGTTAGCGCAAGTGCACCCCTGCTCTTTGTAAGATGAGCACAAGCAGGGAGCAGCGGCACTCCCGTGGCACAAGCACCTGCGCACCCATCATGACCGAGTAATGATCGGCTTAGGCGCATGAAGATTCCATAAGCATGCGGAGCCTTTACGAACCCGACTGATTAGGATGCTCGCCGGTGGCACCATCGCTTGTACTGCATAATGTTCTGTCGGTGGTCAGTCCGTTCTATCGGCGACCCCAGGCGAGTGTCAGCAGGTTTGTTCTGTTTTGCCGCCATCGAGCATGAACAATTAGATGTTGTATTCTCATGAGATTTGCACTGCACCTTCAGATCCCTAATGCCACCATGACTGAGAGCTGAGAGAATCTGAACCTTCATGAACTGTGACGGTCGTTCTCAGTTTTGCCCGGCCCTGCCGTGACAGGAGCAATTCCGTTGGCCGAACGAAGAGGCCTTTGCACAGCGGCCGCCCCTGCTGCAGTTCCAGCATGATAGCCTGATAGCGGCCTGTTGGCAGGTAGAGATCGCTGATTACCTGAGGAGTCCCGCCTCACTGAAACCATAACCAGGCATGCAGTAGCTTGGCAGTAACGCTTTCTACAGGAGCATGGGTTCCAACTACACGTGGTGGGGTGCGTGCTTCTCTGGCGACATCGAGCGCATTGACGAATACCTTCAGAACGGCCAGGAGCTTGCTTTGCTGTATTCCTGTTGATGCCCAGAGCTCTCCATCCCATCTCCGGGCGCGTGTCGCCCAATATGGCTGGATGCTGGCCGATCTATAGCGAGGTCACTCGAGGTCAAAAGAAAACAGTGGTTTTATCGACCCGACCTGACCCGATGTTCAGGTGCGTACCCGACCCTCAACCCCTGGGGCCCTGGGGGTTGACAAGCGGTTTGTTTTGCTGCTCCACTCCCTGAACTGCCCTGGTTTCCGCTAAATTAGCCTATTTCGATGGCATAGGAGCCTATAATGTAACCAAGCCCAGAAGACCGTAACGAGCCTATTCCAATGAAGCAGGTCCGTTTTCGCCTTGTTCTCACTTTACCTAGCCAAGCAACCCGAAACGAGCCTTAATTCAAAACTCAAAAGCTCGAAACGAGCCCTTTTCAATGAAACGGGTACATTTTCGGTCCATTGTCGCCTTGGCCATAATTGAACAAGCCAAAAAGCCCGAAACGTGCTTGTTTCAATGAAAATACAAGAGGTCCGTTGCTGCCTTGCCAAACAGTCCGAACGTTGATGTCAGTTTATAAAGCCAAAACACGAAACGAGCTTATTTCAAATGACATATGTCCGTTTGGCCTTGGTCCCAATTCGATGACGCTCGTTTTTGTGGTCACCCCGTTTCCTCTTCTCCCATCCAAAAGCTCCAAGAGCCCAGTACGAGCTCATTTCAAACGAGAGACGGCTTTTATTTGCGTCAATACTGTGCTCTGTTGAAACGAGATAGCTCCTTGCCCTATGTTGTTGGTCCGAACTCGCTCTAAGAGGGGAACGAGATAGGGGCAGGCTCATTTATGATCAGAGCTGCTACTAACGATACTTGAACGAGATCCAGTTTTTCTGAAAAAAGAAAACCTTTTTCTGGCAGTACTTAATATGATGAAACGAGATAGGATAGGGGCACCGCTTCGAGACACCGCAAGTAGCCTAAGCCTTAAATAAACGCAGCGGTGGCTTAACCAGCCAAAAAGTCCCAAACGAGCCTGCTTCAATGACCTGTTTCCGCGCTACACCGCCCCCTCAACCGTCGCCTCAAAGAGCACAGAACTCGTTTATTTCAATTACACCGGTCTGTTTTTGTGTTCCTGTCGCTGCCTGCAAATCCAGCCCTGCTATAGTCAGATAATGTCAGTTGGATTCAGGGACCCGACCCGACCTGCGGCTAATTTGGAGAATGGAATTATTCTAAATGCGTCTGGATGCGAAAAAGGAGACAGTGCTCCGCTGCACTCAAGTGTGGCGCTCCGCGACCCGGTCAGGTGCTGTCTCCGAAATTGTCCATGCTATCACTATGTCACCGTCGTCGCCGCATCGGTCCGTCGGCAGACCCTCCTGCAGGTCGCAATCCCCCAAAGATGCTGTTCGAGCGTGGCGGCTCGCATGCAGCCTTTGTGACAAGGGCGCCAGGTGCTGTCCTACACTGAGGTCGCGGGACTGTGCCGCCGGTCCAAGCAGGTAGCTCCCATTTACGTCATGACGACTGTGCCGTCTGTGTCGACACGTCCCTCGGACGGGACAGAATCCGTGCATGCCAAACCGGTGCAAGTTGTCGCCGATGTCCACAACCAGGTCCTTGTACCGCAGCGATCCTGCGACCTTGCGTGCAAGCCTTCACGAAAGACATGTCTATGTCAGAGTTGCTTGCTGTGTCTGTCTGATTTCTGGTTCTCCTGATATACATGACCTCCGACCTCGGCCCATCTCAGGCCTGTGAGGTGTCAAGGTACGTGTCGACTCTCGAGTCGCCTTCGGAGCCTTCGACTTCCGTCAGAGCGATTTTCCCTGGACCGTGAGTGCTGAACCTGGCCCGGTCAGGACGTCAACGAGATCAACCCGGTCCTGTGGAATTACAACGCAGTAGACTGTCATCGTCTTACGTCCTTTCACAGTGTGTTGGCCAGTTGGCCTGGGCGTTATAACTTGTGCTTCCAAGGTGCCATGCACGGAGGATGTGGCAAGGCTGCCCAATTTCTCGTTGCCCGTGGCGGCATCATCACGGTAAGAAACTGCCACTTGGATGCAACCCACTTTTAGCAGGAAGGTCAGGCAGTGAATGAAAAGGGTTGCCACCTGCTTCCCATGCAGGTCATATTCCGGTCTGGGATGACATGCTGTGGAGCATTGGGCGTGGCGATGCCTTTATGTATAAGGCTCGCCTTCGCACGGAACAAACTCCTGTGTCATGGTGGTGCAGGGACTAACAGAACAGCACGATTTCGGTTTGACTGTCATGACTCTTCTCAGAAGACTGCTGCATGAATCAAATCAGGAGTGGGGCCTCGAAGAAGGAAGCTTCACCAAGCTCTGAGAGATTAGTTGAGTTCTTCCAGATTCAAGAGGATCCAGCGTTGATGTTACACCTTGATTCAGAAAGCTCTTGCACATCGCATACAAACTTTTCGGGTCACTGCACAACATGAAGGAACCTACACTTGTACAATTGCTAAGTGCTAGCTTGTACAACGTCACAAGTCGACCCGTGTCAGCGTGTTGGAAAAGCCGCCAGCACTGATTCTTGAACCGCGAAGCCTGGTTGTGTTGCGATGCACGTGATGCTGCTGTTGATGAGAAGTTTCGGTTCTGGCCTCTTCTTTGCACAGAGATAATGCACGCGCTTCAGACCCCACTGCGCTCTCATCGGGTGGCGGCTTCATCAGGCAGGACGTTGTGGTGCTTACCAACAACGTACGACTTTAGGAGTTGTAGCTCATTGCAGCATTTGTAGGGGCAGCGCGATCAGCCTGAGGCGAATTCACATCTTCACAGCATGTGCTGCGGCAGCTGGCGCGGATCTTCACAATCAACAACCGCTGCAAACGGTTGGCAAACTTCCTGGCACCTTGCCATGGATGCGTTTCGAAGCAGCGGAAGCTACTCAGAAGCCTCCTTTGCAGCTATGACTATGATGTCTGTTTTCTCCAAGTCCCAGCAATGGCTGCTTGCAGTAGCAACGATGCGCTGGGTGCGACAGGTGCATGCAAGTTTGTGCGAAAGAATGCACTGGTAGTCGTATGAAGGACTGCCAAGGATCGAAGTTGAAGAGTCAGAGTCTCTGTCTTGCCTCCTAGCTGTGGTGAAGCCTGGCCCATGAGGTGCAAGTGGAGGCCAACACGATCATGTTTAGCTCCGGCCTGGCCAGCTGCTCCAAGAAAGGGCTCTGGAAAGAACAAGTGCACTTCCTTGAAGAGATGTCCCAGCATGGTATTTCAAGCTCTTCGTGGACATGGAATCCAACTATTACTGGGTGTGGCAAGGCCAACCAGTGGACAAAATCACTAGCGACTCTGTCACAGATTCCTCGCCATACGGTTCTCCTCAGTAACACGTTCAATGCTGTGATCAATGCTCTCGGCACCGCTACGTGGCCAAAGTGTCTACAAAGCTTCAGTACCATGGACACACTCCGCAGCTTCACTGAATTTGTCGCATTAATCATGCTTGCTTTGAAGAGCTATGGCATACAGAGCATGTCAGTTCCTTCCAAAGCATGCATCGACGCACAGACACCGGATGCGCGGTCGCCATCGGTCCTGAAGCAACTGGTTCATGTCGTAAAGTGAGAGCATGGTTTTGAAGAAGTGGTGCGGGCAAGGGCAGTTTCACCGGCGTACTCTGCTGCCGAGGTCAGGACTCTGTCACACATGCACACACGCAGCTTGGAAACTTAGGTCACGAGCATTGCAACATGTTTCGGCCTGACAGCCCCCTTGAGCTTGCCCGCCGACTGTGCCAGGCTTGTCCTGGCTTCACCGTTTCGCTAAGCTAACTGTCAGTGGTCCAGGTATTATCCTGCCGGCAAGTCATGAGGTTGTGGAACAGAGCCCGCATAGGAAATCTTGGCTGCACAATCCTTCACGAAGAATGGATGAGGTTTTTCACTCTGAGGAGGTTGTGGTGAAGCTACAATTCAGGAACTCATCTCCTGCTTCAGCTCTGATTCTGCGATCTTGTGGTTCCTGAGTCCCGTCTTCTTTGCTAATCGGCCTCGCCATGAACACGCATGCTTCGCTCTGGAGTCGTCTCAGGGTCTTCTAATGTGACGCACCTTTTCTCCGAAGTTCAGCTTGGCTTCGCATGACGAGCTCAGCTACCGGTTGACATCTGCCAGGCGGTATGCAGTGATCGCCGGGCTTGGCACGGCGTGCTCGATTGCCCTTGCACTTCGAAATGTGGACCTGTAACAGAGCACAGCGGGAGTGCAAGCATTTCTGATATGGGCATGCCGTGACAATCTTACCAAGACTATGAATCAACATCAGCGTGTTCCCACTTTCGCGCCACCCCAGACCCCAAACCAAATGTTTCGGAAGCCAGGATAAATCGGATGGAGCCTGTCAATGCTCATGTGCACCGTCGTGCTGATTGCTGAGACAGAGATGTCACATGTGTCCAATGCCCCTGATTCTGCTGCGCTTCCCAGAACGCACTTAAGGAGTTTCGCCGGACTCCAGAAGCTACACATCGATTGCCAGCACAGTTGGGAGCAGTCTTGAGTGGGCAAGTGCCTTGAACCTATTTCATAAGCATGCTCAGAGCGGACTGCAGATCGACACGGTCAGTGTGAATGCAGCTCGTCGAGCTGGCCACTCTCGTTGAGTTTAAAAAGTTTGATAGAAAGATGCGTAGCATTTATCCCTATGTTGCGAAGCACCACCGATCAGGCTGCCATCAGTGCATGTGAAAAATCGTCGATGTGGCAGCATGCATTGAGCTTGCTTTTCAGCCTGCGTCGGACGTCCGGCGACTACATCAGAAATATTGGCAGCTACAACGGAGTCATCAGTGCGTGTGGGAAAGGTTTCGCATGGAGGATAGCCGTTTCTTTACTGGACGACTCAGTGACCTTGCCAATTTAGAGCACGTCATGTGTCATCCGACACGGCATCCCTGCCCTTAGATCTAGGATTATTCATCTCTTGGTGGAGCTTGGTAAGGCAAAATCGTCGCTCATCCCCGACACGATTTCGTTCAATGCCGCGTTGAATGCATGCGACAAGAGCAGCCAGTGGGTCGTTGCGATAGACATTCTCAGAAGAATGCACTCGGACAGAGTGCAAGTTGATGTCGTGGCCTGAGTGTGGTCCTGGAATGTTGCATGTGTTCCGGAAGGTTGATTCAAATACAGCATGTCCGACATGTCCCCCAGTTCATGGTCTAAGGCCATCACCTATACTTCTGTGCTTGGTGCATGCGAGCACTCCGGCCAATGGGAGATCACACACATTCTGTTGCACAGCGTCATTGATGGCGGCTACGACGAGTGGAAACGAGAAGACATTGATTACGTCCACTACTATCAAGCTGGAGCACCTGCAGACTGCCTCAAACACTTAATCCTCTGCGCCTTGCTCGAGCACTCAGTGCAGGAAGCGGATCCGTTTCTGTACATTGACACCCATGCTGGATCTGGCTTGTACGACTTGAGCTCGCATGAAGCGATGCGGTTCGAAAACTACCGCAGTGGCATTCAGAACTTAGCAACTTCTGAACAGGCAACCACTTTGCGCACCATGCACGGCTTCCTCAGCGCTGTTCGATTGGTGAATTTCGCACTTGGAGAAGAATCGCTTCGCTACTACCCTGGTTCACCGGCCATCGCACAACACTTCTTGCGGCCTCAAGATTCAGCCCTGGTTTTTGAAGCATCAAGGGAAGTGTGCGAAGTCCTAGCAGACAGCCTGCTCAAGCTGCAAGATCCAAACTCTGCTTTGTCAACGACAGTTGTCTGTGCGAACTCCTATGAATGGTTCGCCAGGTCTCGTGAAGTCCCTGCAACCTCAACTTCGAGAGTGCTTGCTCTAATCGATCCACCTTACGATTCAGCAAGCTCGTCCGACAAATGGAATTTGTTTCTCCTGAAACACCTGACAATGAGATGGCCTTCCAGTTGCATCTTGCTGTGGTGTCCCCACATTGCCGACCAAGACATGAATCTTGGACTGGCTTGGCGAGGTTGCACAAAGACCCAATATCAATAGCCATCAGTGGATCAATTTTGTGTTTTGAGATGCACATGCGAGCTTCCAGGAGATATGCGTAGAGCGGGAGATATGCGTAGAGCGGAAGACAGAGAGAGTCGTCAGAGTCGTCCCTAACCACACAAGGGCATGAGAATCGCACACACACACACATACACGTACATATATATATATGTATATATATATATATTATACGTCTTGTATATATATATATATACACACCTGCTTTGTGTATATATATATATAGATATGTGTGTGTGTATATATATATAAGACAGAAACCTTTAGGGTCTGTTTAACCATCGGTAACTGATTCAATTACTTCAATTAGTTCACTTAATGTAACTAGTACAATTAGTAGAATTGGCTTCAGTTCTATTAATTGAACGAATTGAATTATTAAAACCCGCCGGTGGATTTAAGACTTTATGCAATGGAATCGGCTTCAGTTCTATTAGTTACATAAGTTAAATACATCAAATTGATTAAATTAAGTAAACTGGGTGGAAATATCCAAATTCCCTAAACGTTTGGCGCTGGATTCCAAGCAGCTTAGTGACATAATTTGTCTTATGCCTTCGATTCTATTAAAATTTAAAATAATTGAAATATGTAAATCGGCCGGTGGATTTATTTGATTTAGTTGATAAATTTGGCCGTGCTCAAGCAGTCTGAAATGGAAAGGTTTCGGAGTCGCAACTTCCGGTCCGAGAAGTTGACTGTCAGCACTGTGCTTTATAGCCACTGGCAGTGCAAGGGGACTGTTGGAGCCTTGAAGTTGGCGACCAAGTCCTTGCACAACGAGGCTCGCCTCAGCGTCCCGGGTCTGGCCTTTCGTCTGTCCGGTCGCCTCTGCCGTACGTGCATCGGGTCTTGAGTGAACCCCCCCGTTTTCCGGGATATCGCAGTCTTACGCCAGGTTCGAAAGCAAAGGCGTTTGCTGAAGAAAGCAGGCAGCCGGTGAGGGACACGGTGCTGGCCATGCGGGCGGTCTTAACGAAGGCGCAGGTCGTGATCAGCACGGCGGTCGTGACGGGGCAACAGGCGGATCCTCTCACACGGGAACGAGCACGTCTGAAAGTGTGACTGTGATTCTGCTTGAATGCTTCGAAGGTTGAGCCTTGAGATCTTTTGACACGCTTGCAGGCCGTCCTGCAGTGTGTCATATCGTACTACGCGAGGCCCAGCACAGTACAGTAGAGCACAGATCTGCACTCGCGACGTTTTTGCAACCCACCAGACCTTCGTCGTGGAATAAACTGCGATTGGAACGCAGCAAGTCCGCATCAAGCTGCCGCGCTTGCTGTCCAACAGCTTTGCCCCCAAAGTGAAAGTAGCAGACGTGATTCTGGAAGCCTTGTCTCCATCCGAGACTTTTGCTCCAAAGTGAAAGCGGCAGACGTGATTCTGGAAGCGTTGTCTGTATCCGAGACTCTTGCCCCCAAAGTGAAAGCAGCAGACGTGATTTTGGTCTCTATCCGAGACTCTTGCCCCCAAAGTCAAAGCAGCGGACGTGATTCCGGAAGCCTTGTCTGCGTCCGAGACCGTGTATCATACCGTAGCTGAGTGATACAGCAGTGCTGGCCTGGCTAGAACCAAAAGATGTTGGTCTTCCAAAAGATCAAACTAGCACATGCAAATATCCGCTCGCTGTGCGTTTGCTTTTCATCAGCAGTGTTTTCTCGGCTTGTCAACAATATGGCAACGCTTTGCGTCGCAATGCGGCGGCTCACACCAGAAAACATCTGCTTTATTTCGCGGCAGCCTTGCAAAAACATTTTTCACCCACCCTCACACCCGATAGGGGGGAACCGCTCGGGCTGCATTGCCTCGTTTCCTCTTCGAGCGCGCCTCGCTCCGCACTGACACAGCAACACTCGCCGGTAAAAGCATCGCCTTTCGCATTTCTTACAATTGCAGTAACTGCGTAAACCTACAGAACAACATTGTTCCTCAACAGCCTCTGCCGTGTCGCAATAACCAATTGCGTGTGGCAGCAGTACTTGGAGACGGTGAGAACATGTGGTCTGAGTGGTGCAAACAAGGTATGAAGACAAAATAACCGAGAGCACAACGTCGGTTTGAAGTTCGTTTCTTTTGCCGGCCAGGCCGGAGGAAACGGGCGAGAGTATGTTAGACCTCAGATTTCGGTGTGAAGGCGGTGTGGGCAGTGAAACATTCAGATCAAGCCTCTCTGAAAGCCACATCCTTCAAGATGACTGCACCTTACAATCGGAATACATTTAGGATGAAGGATTTAAGATTTAGGTTTCAGGGTTTAGGATTTAGGGTTTAAGGCTCGCTCCTTTTCCAGACCATAAAAGCAGGTTTAAGCCTGCGTTATTTGTTCTGGAAGAAGCCGCTCCTGGATGGCGTTGCCGTAGCTGGGGGGCTTCCTGAAAGCCCCCAAGCCCGAACCTCTAAAGGAAGCTGCTCCTGGATGGTGCTGCCATAGCTGGAGAGTTTCCTGAAACTGCTCCTGGATGGCGTGGCCATAGCTGGGAGGTTTCGTAATCTACAAACCAGGAAACTGCTCCTGGATGGTGGGACCATGGCTGGAGAGTTTCTTGAGACAGCTCCTGGATGGCGGCGCCATAGTTGGAGTGTCTCTAAGCTGTCGTTGCCTCTACGCCGCGCTGTGCCCGCCATTCGCCGCCACTGCTGCCGCCACAGCAGCTCTTGCTGCTTCAGAGGCGGCCCCGGTTGTTGAAACTCCAGGGTACGGACGTTTTCCAGACAAGTTCCCTGATCCCTTAAACAGCTGGAGCCAGAAACATTCCAGATTTCTAGAAGCTCAGCCTTAATTCTTGGCGCGTCTGCATTGACGTCTCTCCAAGCCCATGCATACCGAGCCTGCAACCTGGAGCAAAACCCACTCGCAGACCCTCCATTTCTCGTCAGCAAAGCAAAGTAAACCTGCCGCAAGGCTGATCGCTGCAGCTCTTGTGGCCCGACAAAAGGATTCTACGATTCTCCCCACTCGTGTGACGTGTGTCTGTCCAAATTCATTGTCGACAGTATTTCTAAACAGAGCCTCGGAGAAAACTTGGGGAGGCGCGATTACTTACTTAGACTGGGGGCCAGCAGTAACAGCTTCATGAAAAGGATATTACGGTTCTATCCACTAGTGTGAGGACCTACAGGCTGTCTGTCTAAGCTCATTGTCGACAGTATTTCAAAAGAGAGCCTCGGAGAAAGCTTAGAGAGGTGCGATTGCCGTAGCTTTGGTAGTGGCTGCGGTTGTTTCTGTTATTTTTGTTGCTGCTGTTGATGTAGCTGTTGTACGGACCGGTCTGTGATGTGCAGGTGTCACGGACTTGTGTTGAAGCCACCCGTCAAGCTTCGAAGTCATCCGAAAAGCATCACAGAGCCGTCTCGGAGCCACCCGAAAAGCGGCACGGAACCGTGGCAAGCAACTGTCGACCGGCGTTCCACACAGCGAAGCATGTAGAGAATCTCCCAAATTTAGAACCAAGTTTGTCACAGAACTCCGAAACTTCAGGATCTCGGTTTGCGTATTATACTACTTCGCGAACTACCGATTAGCTACCGGTTTACAACTGTAAATATGGAGCACTAGTCAAACAGACCCTTAAGGCGTCGGTCTCATATATATATATATACATATGTACATATACAAGTTTGCATACGCATGATTCTATTCCATGGCAAGGGGTCATGGTTGGAGCGTTCACCGAGAGATAGAGGCCGAGAGCTTGCAGCTGTTCCTTGTTTCGCCTTTGGCTCCTTTTTGGGACAGGCCGCTATGCTATGCTTGCTTGATCCCGTTCAGAGCGATGTCATACATGCTTGGAGCGACATGATGATTGCTATGACTTGATTTACACTCTGGCTTCACTGTGCTCGTGACATTAAGACGGGTCTGTCATCCAGAGGCTTGCCCCCTGGCCAGAAAAAGAACGAGAGTGTGAGTTCACTGTTTCGCAGAAAGATCGAGTGAGTACAGTGTTTCTTGGCGTCCGCGTGTGTCCATGTTCCCCGCTGAGCCGTACGGTTAATGGTTCTGGTAAGCAGGAGCCGGGGCACGTACGCATCACCGAGCGTTTTCCTTACCTTGCCCTACCTTCGTAATCCATCCTAACTAACTATTGCTTGCCTTGACTAATTTAGACTGTCTGATCTTGCGTTATCTCACCGTATCTTGCCTTAGCTTGCCCTGTACCTTATCGTATCGTAGCTTATCTTACTTGTATTTAGTCTAACCCAACCCAACCAACCCAATCTAGTCTGATCTGGTCGCACCGTAAGCCTTTCCTTACCTTGCCTTGCCTTACCTCACCATCTCAGGCGTTTCATCGTTTCTGATCAAGCAAAGCCTTTCTCTACCCGAATCGAATCTGGCTTAGCATAATCTAATTTCATCGTATTTATTCCTACTTGTATTTTGTCCTCTTGTACTTCAGCCTGTCTTTTCGCAGTGCTTCATAGATCGGCTGCTATCATCTGAGCATATGATCTGATATCTCATAACACTGTATTATGCCGCGCTATATATCGAAATGCTCCACTTTGCATCGTAGCAAGCTCCAACCCTTTTTGCTTGAGAAACAATGCTCAAATTTTTTATTAGCACAACACAATAATTGCACTACAATTTCCATCTATGCCCTATGGTCTTTTGTTTAACGTACGCATAAGTATGCAAGACTTACTTATGCACGTGCGTTCGCATGTGCACGAAGAGACAGACACACTGAAAGTAAAAGAGACATACGAAGACAGAGAGTTTCTGCTGCTGGGGTCGTACTCCGTTCACTCCGCACCAAAAGGGGTGCGCGAGAGCGCAGGGAGGGGGGCAACCTCCTCCTCAGGCCCGCAGAAAGAAAGACAGACAGACAGGTATCTACAGGGGGGAAACTTTAGTTGCACAGATGTGTTTTTGTTGTGGCAGTGAGGGAAGAGTCGCCGAACCACGTGGGGCCAAGCCCCGCGTGGAAGCTTAAAGCCCTGCAAGGACCGCAGGTGCGGGCGTGCGCGCAGGGGTTCGGGCGTCCATTCGTTCCCGCTGTCCTGGTGACAGACAGACAGGCAGCCAGCCAGCCAGCCAGGCCGACTGAGTACTAACATTGCCGTGAAATCATGCGAGCGGGGGGCCAGTGCGAGCCTGAGTTCCTTTGGATGTGGACAGGCAGCGGCTGCTCAGGGAGGTCATTGCTTCTAACCGTCGGTGCCGCAACTTCAACTTAGCATGTCAGACAAGCATAGACCGGGGCGTGTGTGCGCGCGTGCGCGGGGCGGGCAGGGTTTCCTGTCTTCTTTGGCTGAGTGGAAAGAAGCCTGTGTATTTGCCCAAACACCCAGCCAGCCAGCCACCCACCCCCCAGCCAGATACGAAGTTGTCATGTCTATCCAGTCACTTATTATCTACGCATGCAGCTTTCTATCCGTTTGTTCATTGCCTCCCGCTGTCTTCTTTCTGTCTCCTTCTCTGTTTCGCGTATGCTTATCCGATTGTCTCGTGTGCCTGTGTGAATCAGGAGCTTGGCAAATGTTCTGCGGTCCCAACTATATCACTTTATCGGTATATCATCCATTGATTTTGCTCTCGTGGCAGCAAGGACTCGCTTTCAACAGCGTCTGGTCAATTTGCAAGTGGGTGATGTACTTGCAGCAGATGTCAAGACACTCACTGAAGCCTCTGCTGGAGATCTCATGGAGTCAAGGCATTCAATGCATTGAATGCTAAAGTGCCGAAGCTTGGGATGTCCTTGCTCAAGGCTTGCTGTCACTTGTTGGTTGTGTCTGTCCTCTTTGCCAGGTCATCCGTGCTTGTCGTGAACCCGCCTGCTGCTCTTGAGAAGCAGCTGGGCCCGGTCTTGGAGGAATTGCAGAAGGGCCTCTCAAACGGCGACTTCTGCCGCGCTGCCTCGACATCTCTGCGATTGCTGCCGCAAAAGGTTGGCGACTGCGTCCGAAAGCGACTGCACGTTGACTGTGAAAGCGGCGCACACACACAATATGACTTTGCCAGTAATGCGCATGTCCGAGGCTGAAGCTGCAGTGGTGCCCGGGCAAGCTGTGCGCTTGCAGACGCGCCTTTTGGTCTGAACATCTCCTTCCGGTGCTTCTGGATGTGTCGACACGAAATCAGGTGGACATGCATCCATCTTGGGCGGATTGGTCTGGAACTATTCCTGGTGCTGCCTGCAAAATGCCGGCAGCCTGCTACGTGTCAGCCCTGCGGTGCAGGCCTTTGGTGAATGTACTCCTGGGCACGACCCCACGAGGATGGCAGGCCACTGCTTCGCAGCCAGCTACCTTTCGCGGCAGCTGTGTCAGCAGGTCTTGCTCCAGTCACCGTATGACACCACGACAATCCTTACCTTTATCAATGGGAAGCAGTTTTACTTGCCAGCCTCTTATTCGATCTTTGTTCATGCATGTTTCCGCCACAATCCAGAATCTTCTGAACCCAAGGCGCAGAATTGAATTCACGTCCCCCTCCGAGAACAGTCTGGATGGGGAAAGTTGTCAGCTCAATATGAACAGCCCAAGACGTCAACCGTTCTTCCAATATTCTTACAATAAATCGACACTTCCCGTGAAAGGTTTCGACATGGAGATGCAGCTTGTGCACAACGCAGCATCACACCAAGTTCGGTTGACCGCACTTCAGCAGCTGCCTGCTGTTATGCCGACTCCTTTGCGCGACAAGGCTGCAGATGGCCAGCTCCTTGTCACTTCTGTGTTTCTGAAGGCGCGCCGAAGCATTGCATGACCACGAAGTGAACTCTTGCAGCATCACTTGTGAATCCTGGAATCCTGGCTTCCATTTCCCGCAGCCTGCCGCGCGCGGGTTGTGCACTTGTCAGCTCGTCCTTCTACTCTTACTCTTGCCGCGAGTCCGAGTGGCTGTGCGCGACAGCCACCGGTGGTACAGTGGTATGCTGCAAGCAACTGACATGCTCTTCTCTTTCAATGGGCAATGCCTGCCAGAGACGATCGAAACTGGAGAAGCGTGGCGCCGTGTCTTCGTGTGTTCCGATTCCACGTGTCAACGGTGCCATGTTCAGTTTTTGCTGTTGCGCCCATGCTGAGAGTCGTGTGAGAGCCATTCCGGCGCATAGCAAAGTTAAGCCTGCCCCGGTGTTTGTGCAGGCAGCCGGTGAGAACTGCAACTGCATGGATAACGACACTTGTGCATGACAGTGACAAGCGGCAGACTGTAGGCTTCAACAATTTTCAGCTGACATGCAGGTTCTGGGAGTCGAGAATGGTAAGGAGACAAGGTGAATCCAGAAACCCAGCCTCAGCAAAAGGCTCAATTCTCCCTTGCTGTATCAGCAGCTGACTGTTCGAACAATGTCTTGCAACCTCGCCTATACACGTGGCATTGTCGCTGCGCCCCCCCCCCCCCCCCCCCGGTTTGCCGGTGTCGTTTGCCAGTGTCCGCAATGTTAACACAAGCCACATTCAAATCCACAAGGAAGTTCAGTTGTCCGCAGACGAACCAGCGTCACAGACTTAGTTGAAAGCCGTGCAAAACAACGCATGACAGGCTGGCAGTGACTGGGCGATGCGTCAGCCGTCCCACGACACGACTGCCTCAAGCCCTCTCACGCACAAAGCGCCTGGCCTCACACAGTGTAACGACCCTGCCTCTGTGCCTCATGCTTCCCCGTGTATTTTGCCGTGGGAATGCGCCCCTGCCGTGGTTGAACCCAGCAACCCAGCATTCGAGAACCACAACGTGCAGTCCAGAGACCGGACGTTTGCATGTCATGCTGTCACTGCAAACTAGCGTCTGCAAAAATGTTGATTTGCATCTGGACCGCCTGGAATCGCTGTCGTTTCTTCAATCATACATTCATCAGGCATGATCCGCATCATCCACATCGTCGTCATCATCGTCATCGTC